TCTCTGTACAAACAAAAACATATCTGGATGTCACCATATGTTGCCCCCAAAAACTGTATAAATCATTAAGAATCAATGGTGGCTTGGGAGATTAAGTTATTAAAGCCGTGTAGACATCCTGCATCCTGTCACGCAACTGTGCACCGATAACCAGCTGGATGCTTTCAGTCTCTGTTAGCATGCTGGACGCAGCATCTTTTTCCAAAACGGATTTAGTTTTACTCTTGGAAAACAAGGCAGTTTTCAGTCATTTCTTTATATTTCAGGAATAAATTCATAGACAGCAGTATAGCTTTAAAAATGTGTTAAAGCTCATGGTAGTTAAGCACACTTATTATTATATCAAGCTTAACTTAACCAAGTCTTTTATGTTTTCTTTTTATCAGTAATTTTACTGGACTGTTGCCAGTTAAGCTGTCACATTGTCTTGATTTTTTTAAACTGATGTTTAGCAAAATTATAATGATACAACAAACAAGGTCAGTGAGTTTTAAAAGCAATAATTTGATGCATAAGTTTGAAGTTCTTGTGTGTTTTTCTCTGATTCAATCAATTAATTATACATAAAGTCTCATATACATTGACACTAGTATTGTGTTTTTTAAAGTGGGATTTCACTATGGGGTGCTACGGCGGCCTCAGAAAGTTTAAGGGAAGTTGAGAAAAACATGCAAAAATAAAAAAAAATTCTAATAAATTTTTTATCATTATCATTTCATCAACTTACTGAAATGTTTTTTGCTCATTTTTCTGACTGGCTGATTAGCAAATTTATCAAGCTGCTTTCCCCAACCAGTGCAGTTTTTTGAGAAGTTTCTGACAAGAAAAGCAGTTAAAGAAAAACCTCCCTGTTACAGATAAAACCAAAATTTTTATTTAAATATTGTGAGTTTGGAAATGGTATCCCAGTCCAGAAGCTAATGCTATTGATGGTATGGAAAAGTTTGGAAACCTTTGGTGTAAATAATAAATACTGGCCACATGCATTTTGTAGCCTTTACAAGGGAATGAGCATTAATCTAGCAGGATAGTTGACCACTGGTAGAGTTCCTTTTATTGGTTTGTTTACTGGCATAGATGTTGCTTTTGTTACAGTAAACCGAAAGTTTAATGTCAGCCCGCTTTATCCATGATACACTACTAGTTCATATGTATGTCCATGGTGGAATAATGTTGTGCCTTTATTCCAACATGGACAAGCCAAATGTCTTCAAAAAGAAAGGTTTGATGGTGAGACGAGACAAAGATTGAGATGTTTGTTCATAGTGACAAGAAGAATGTTAGGAGGAGTCAAAGTGAACCAAGGAAACCATTGTCAAGCATTACTCAAATACAGACAAGAACAAAAATGTTTTTAAAGGTGCATTTCAGGTGGATTAAACAATAAAAATTTCAAATTATTCACTGTTACCTCAATTTAACAGCTGTACGGTTGTTCATAGAAGGCACATCTAAATTGGTTTTGGAATAAATAAATTAATAAAAGTGAATATTAGGTCTTTGGAAAGTCCAGACATCATATGCAGTTAAAAATTGAAGAACTGTGCATAAAAGTTAGATTTGTGAAAGGCAAATCCACCAATTTCAATGATTCTGTGACAAAGAGTGGACAAATATCCAGACAGAAAGATGGCAGGAGGTTGTTGATGGTTACAAAAACAGTGCGGTCATGGTGCACCAAATACCAAATACTTGTCTGGCTCTATATGTCTTCTATATAGACCCTGTTAATTAGGAAAAAAAATCTGGAATAAATCCAAACTTGTTCGCTTTCCAAAATCCATAAAGTTTCATGTTGGGTAATAATTAAATCCTTGAAGCAGAACAGTTCAAAAAGCTAAAATTATTACAAATCTGACCATGATAAGTGGGTGGAAACTTCTGAACAGAGCTGTAACCCAAATCAAAAGAAGCATGTATGCAAGCTGTTCTTTCCATGAACTTTGACCTTAATTGTAACAGAGGCTGCTTTCTCAATCATCTTATATGCTTCCAACACTTTATGTTTAATATCTGTGAAAAAAAAAAACATTGATATAGAATAAGGTCAGGCAGTAAGAACAAAATAAAAAGAACAATATGATGAACAATGACAGTGCAGAATTGACCATGATGACTCTTTCATTTTTTTAAACTGCATTACATTTTATCATAAATGTGCCTCATAATCTGTGAGGAAGATATCAGATAAAGTCCATGTATTGATCTTGTTGGAACAAGTGAAATGTGATGCTGAACATTTGTGCCTTTATGGTCACTGTTTGTCTGTCTGGACTCTGATATATTTAACCACTCACGTCCCACTGAGCCTTTTCTAGGTCCTGGAGTTCCTGAACTGGGGGTGTGGACCAGATGGGGGAGGTGTGCATGCAGAGGCCCACATTAGGGCCGGTGTAACCTTTCCTCCAGATTCCCCAGCTCGTCTAAATGGCCTGCCCCACTTATATGACAAACAGACTGCTGTACTCAGTCCCAACTTCTTGTCATTCCTCTGAGCTAACTGGTTTTCCCCGTAGCTCCTCCCTCAACTGCTCACTAACAGCTGGCACTGAAACCGTCCTCAATGCTAACTGAGGACATGCTTATGTGAGTCATACCTGGGTATGGCCTTCCTTCGCATCCGGGCGCTGCCAGGGCCGGGAAAACACACCTACTGAACTCCCCCTTTTTGCTGCAAGCAAACTGCTAACAAAACAACAGGTCAACAATAAGACAGACACGAGACCCAATCGGGTTTCTCTCTGAAAAATAATAAAAGCAGCACAAGTCTGCGCTCATAAAGTCCACACATGGGTTGTTGAGTTCTTTATGTTCAGATACAGATGTTATTTTCTGTAGTTACACATGAAGAGTTCATTTTGGGCGTATAAAGATTAATTTTCCACCAGTTTGGCATTTTAAGGAACATTTGTCCAGGGCCGGATTTACAGGCTTTTGGCTCCTGGGCTACAGCCAGTGTTGGGTCCTATTCACTACCAAAAAATGACTCTACTGATACAAATTACAATACATTAATAGGTAGTCCTCAATGAACTGGTACAAGGCATGTTTAATATGTTCCCTGAGCATCCTAAAAAAATTACAATATCTTCAGAATTTTGGGTTAATATCAATATCCGATGCTGTTATGGCTGATAAACGATATTTACCAATATTGTATATATTATATTTTAAATATTTATCTGCCATTTCTTTGTTGGATTGATATCTATACATTTAAAAAATGACTAATGTTGGCCGATACCGACATTAGTATCGATATATCATGCATATATCCTAATATTTTTGGATTTTGTATGTCTCTAATTCATCTGATATGGGCCAATGAGTTTATACAGTATAGCATACAATGCCAAGCGTGTTCATTAAAAAAAAAAAGTCTTTGGGGCCCCAAAAATTAGGGAAATTGGGATCCTGGGCTACTGCTGAAGTCTAACATATGACACACTATGTTTATCCACATGCAGTTATTGGTGCTTATGTGGGTTGGCCATGTGATTTATGTTTCAAACATCCATAAACTCTCCAACCCAGAATTGGGCCCATAATAAAAATGATCTGACATTAGGCCATAAAAACATTGAAATGCATCGTAACATCTACATAAAAGCTTTAATATTTTGGTATTATTTCACATACTTAAAAACAAGTAAATTACAGATAAAATAATGAAATATGAAATGTGATCATGCAAAATCATGAGACAGAAAGGGTAGATTGAAATAATAAATAGAGAAAAACATATACTGTATATGAATAATAGTATGCGATCCCATTACCCATGATAAAGTGTGATATTGAACACTATGTTATAGTTACACTAAAAGAACAAGACATGCAAAGGAATTACACTGAAGAAATTATTAAAAGAAAGAAAAGTTATAACAAGAAATTATTAAAATTATGACAAGAACGAGAAACAAAACACTAATTATGTTTTTATGTTTTCTGCAATATCATGCAATATCTGCAATATCATGCAGAAAACATAAAAGATATGTGTCTGCTCTGTCTTCTCAAACCCTCAGCATATTTATCCCATTTTTTATTATAACAGAAATTAAAAACAACATAAAATATTAAGACTTATACAGTTTGTAACGTACATGCTTCAACAATATCTCATTTGTGGTGGTGCAATTAACTGCAAACCAGCTGATTTCCTGCTTCCCGCTGTTAGAGAGCTGCGCAAACATCAAAACGAGTCAGAAACCCGCGCTTTGCTTGCTGTCAGTGTTGCGTTCAAGGGCAATTTGAAAGTTCAAGAATCTCTTTCATAACAACACTTTCAATAGAACTTTCGGTAACAAGGGAAAGTGATGCTCAAGTTATATGTGTTTTAAATATTTAATTAACCAAATTGCATGTATTTTTAAAAATTTCTTATTTACGTATGTACTCATTTATTTTGTCATTTAGTTATTTATTTATCTGTTGTCAATTTTGACAAAATTGCTAAGAAAATGTTGGCAGCTGGTGGCCAAATACAAGTTAGGTTGGTTTGGATAATTTGTTTTCCACATTCCTTATCCTAATCTTCCTTTTGAAATAAAATCATTATTTCAAAACCTATATTCTAAGTTACTCAGGTAATTTTTGACTGATAGTAAAAGTTGTTTTTCACCTTTACAGAATGAAAAATCATTAAGGGTGCGAATACTTCTTCACAGCTCTGAAAATAGTTCAGCTAAATTAATAAACTTCGCCTGACAACTAATCTGAATTCATTTCCAAATTTATTCCAACTATCCTCAAACACAGCATAGACCGAGCCGACCTTTCGCCCACTTCAGCGACTGCCAGTTCACTGGGTTCACCCTGACACTGCTGACTCTATGGCCACGCCTACCAACGGCCACGCACCCTATTTCCTCCAACCGTCCAGCGAGCACGCACTGTTCACGCGCTCTCTGCTCTCCCATTGGTCAGCGCGCCGCACTCGCTGTACGGCGATTGGCTGAGTGTTGCCACCCGTGAGTACGTGTTGTGAGTTTTGTTTTTCTGTCCCTACCCATGTTTTACACACACAGCTCAGCTGAGAGGAAAAAAAGAGAGACGATCTGAAGTCCATCCTGGACCAGGCTGAAGCTCCCTTTGTTCCACACTGGCTTCAACAAAATTAACGGGACATTTTTTCTCTGTTTGCTTCAGAGGCGTCAGGAAATATTAATGACATGGACTTACAGGAGGTGAGTTGATTTAAAAAATCTTTGTTTGTTTTGTTTTCCAAACAGTCACATAATGTTCTCTTGCTTACTCCCTGCTATTAAACCCTTGTCAGGAGCTAATTTACACACATTGTCAAAGTTTTTAATTATATATTTTATACTGATCATACTTGAACTATGTATTTATTTAAGGAACTTTTTTTCAGTCTTTAATACAAAATGTATTATTGTATAATTAAAAAAATATATATACATATATATATATATATATATATATATATATATATATATATATATATATATATATATATATCTAGAAGGCAGTCTGATCAAAGTGGTTGGTGACTCAGTAAAATAATTTGTTTTTTGATACATGATAAGACAAAGTTGTTTCATTGCCAAGACTACTTCCTGATGCGAACCGCTTTATGGGGATTTCACATGGCTGATCTGGCAGCACGTCACTGTTGGGTCTATATTTGGGAAGGGGAGGCGTTCTGGCTTCAATCCAGAGGGAGTGCATGCAGGATTAGGGTGTAGTCACCAACAACCCCCCTCTCTCCCACAGTGGTAGCATCATCCAGTTTGGCCGGGAAATTCAGCCACACTGAGCAGATGCAGCTGCTGTATTTTACAGTACAAGACTCAGTTTCCTTTAGTCAGTCATAACTGATTAAACTCAACCACCACGGCATATTAGGGTTAAAAACACAGCTTTGTTTCTTTGTTCCTCCAAGGCTGTACATATGGATCAGTGTGGGCCGTGCCTGAAGAGAAGAAGGCACGACAGCGAACAATCTGTCTCCAGTGGAACCAGCAGCTGTTCTTCTGCTTTGGAGTACACTGATCTGGAGGCGGCTGAAGCTCTGGTGTGTATGAGCTCCTGGGGTCAACCTGTGTTTCTCGGTGGCGGCAGCAACAAGCTGAACACCTGCAAGCCCCGGCCCCTCACTCCTGCTTCTGATTCCTGTGACTCCCTCCTGCCGCTGGAGCTCCAGGAGTCCCCAAGGGACTTTGTGTCCCTCTCCTCTCTGGTAAGAGCTTGTCAAACAGTGCGATGCAAACCTATAAAATCAGAGTTTATAGTTCAGCTGCATCAGTTATGCACCTGTATATTTTATGTGATACTTAGTGTTGCAAAAAAAGTACAAGTTGTTTTTTGTCATGCTTAGGCAACTTGAAAAGTACAAGAAATAGTTTACAAACACATATTTTATTTATGAAGTTCAAGAAAAAAACTTAAAATAGAGGTGGGCAATATGTACTTAAAGTTTTATTGCAATATTTTGTGGTACTATTTTGATATTGATAAAAGTGACAGTAAGAACTATTTATAACTTCTTTTTGAGGTAATTGTATGGCAATCAAAGACCCACAAACACAAATAGTACTGTTGAAAAACATTCCCATTTGTAATACTCTTCTTCAGGACAAAAAAGTGTGATTTGTACTTTTCAAATGTATCGGTATTCACTGATACGCATATTTAACAAACAGTATAGAAACTGACAATAGTTTAGGTTTTTTTAAACATCATTAATTGGAATTTATTGTGAAAACCATAAATCAAAATTCTTATCATGACAAAAATGTATCACAATAAATGATAAACAATACAATAAATGGCTAGTCCTATTTCCAAACCATCCAGGGAAATTGTTCTTGAAGTAAGAACTCTAGAAACACTTACATTGGACCTGCCTGACAACAGTAAATTGGCTACCAAGTCTCTGTTCTTTCCACATTTTGGGACTCCAGTTAATGATGGTGGTGGAAAAAAATACTGTGCAGTGGTGAACCCTCCCAGGACTGGTCGGCCTACCAAAATTACAACTCATCCAGGGTAGTACTCATGATTTAATAACAAAATTAAACCCATGGGAGAGTTCTAAGAACACAAAGGCTCTCTCACGTTTTTTCAGAAAACCTCCTTTTTGGGAAAATACTCTGTGCAATTCCAGGTGGAAGGTGAAAACTAGATCTGTTTAGAAAATCATCATTCATACTCTGGATTCACCACATGGTATTGGTAGTATGATGTCTTGGGCTGTTTTGTTGCTTCATGACTGTGAAACTATAAATCTTCATCCAAACTTGGGTTAAGCAGCAAGAAAATTACCCAGCAAGTCCATGTCTGAGTGGTTAAAAAGAATAAAAATGAAGTTTTAGACTGGCCTAGTCAAAATCATCTCCTTTAATTGGCGTAGGATTAGCTTAAATAGGGTCTTCAAACTCTAAACACATTTAGTTTGGCTATCTTTGTCTAATACAATTGATTTCACTGGACTGTTTCTGTAAAGTGTTTTTATAGCATTAATCCTTCCTCATTTCTTTCCAGTGTATGACACCTCCCCACAGCCCCAGCTTTGTTGAGACCTCTTCAAGTGGCTCGGTCCAGTCTTCCCCGACACCCACTGTGTCCACGGCATTCTCTGGACCTGAGCTCCATCAACCCAACCTGGCCCACACTCCTGAAAGGACCCTGTCCCTGCCTGCTCCGCCACACCCCTGCAGAGCCATGGCGACCAGCGTCATCAGGCACACTGCGGATAGAGACCTGTGCCAGCAGCACCACATTCCAGTCACCTCCATTTCACAGAAAACTGCGAGCACAGTGACTGCAACAGGAACAATAGTGTGCATGCAGCAGCAACAGGAATGCATCACAAACACACCTCAGTCTCTTCCTGCAGTAGCAACACAGCACCCTGTCAGTCCCTCTAAACCTTCCTTGGACATTATCGCCATCTCCACAGTCAACACCCAACCACAAAGCCCACCCACAGGCTCCCCACCCACCCTCTCTCCTACTTCAGTGAGCAGTCCACAAATCATCTGCCAGATGTTCCCCATCTGCAGCCAATCGGGAATAATCTCAGCGTTCATCCCCAGTCCAGGTCAGACCTCCGGTACAGGAATTCGGACTGCCACAACACCCATCCTCCCCCATCCCGCGTCAGCCAACAGTCCCTCCCTCCAGCAGCCCCTTATTGTGGGCTCAGCAGTGCCACAGGCCACGGTAATGCTGGTCCTCCCTCATTCCTCAGTCCCCCAGGCCCCTCAGGGCCAACAGACTGTCATGACCCTGGGCAACACCAAACTGCTACCTCTAGCCCCAGCCCCCGTCTACATGCCGGCTGGGCCCTGCAGCAACACGGCAGCCACAAAAATTGACTTTTCTCGCAGGAGAAACTACATCTGCAGTTTTACAGGTTGCAGAAAAACTTACTTCAAGAGCTCACACCTCAAGGCTCATTTACGAACACACACAGGTGAGGCCCTTTCTTGATTGGTGGTTGGCACAAGCTGCGTTTCCATTACAAATGTGCGCAAAACTTTGTTGATATTCCAGCAAAGTTGAAAAAACACAATTTCTCAATTGTGGTTTTTCCATTAAATAAGAAACGCAATTGATATAACACGTGAATAAGTTTGTTCCCCCTATAAGTTGTTTAAAAATATACCAGGCCATCTTCCTCCTGCCACTTCCTGTTGTCTTCTTTGTCTTTTCCGCCAGTAGTAACATCTGGTTATTGATCTCATGACTAGTGTGATGTGGAAAAAAAAGTGTCTCCTTTTGTTTTCGATACAGCCAAAACACCACCTAACTCTAATGCTAAAGGTTTTTTTTATTTATTGAAAAACATGATTTTTTTTATTATTATTGGCTTTTTTCAATTAAGCAAGTTTATTTTTAGAATTCCAACCTGCGCAATTTTATTATTCATGGAAACATAGCTTGTGTGTCTGGGTATTTCATAGAGAAACAAGATTGAGATCATTGCTCTATATGAGAATTGACGTATTGAGTTTTGATGACAACATTGTGACTCATTTGTTTTTCCTGTCTGTCCTTCTGTTTCCCTCCCGAAGGTGAGAAACCATTCAGCTGCAGCTGGGACGGGTGTGATAAGAGGTTCGCCCGCTCCGATGAGTTGTCTCGTCACCGGCGCACGCACACCGGCGAAAAGAAATTCGTCTGTCCGGTGTGCGATCGGCGATTCATGCGCAGCGACCACCTGACCAAACATGCTCGCCGTCACATGACCACAAAGAAGATCCCCACCTGGCAGGCGGATGTTCGCAATCTGAGCAAAATGGCTGCAGACAAAACTCCTCCCCCTAAGGCTGCCATTGGCACGCTGAGCATGCTAGTACCTGCCAGCTCCAAGTAGACGCTGAACAAATGCCATCTTTCTCAGTCTGTGCATACATTGGTATGTGGATGCTCTCATTGGAAACAAGTAATGAAAGCCAAGTAATATTTTCATTTCAAAGTATTAAATTGAATCATGAGCCATTCCGCCTTTTTGAGGTCAACAACAGGCGAGTTGACAAATTAGTTCAATATTCTTTCATGTCTAAGATTTCAAAAAAATTCAATTTTTATACCCTAGTCCAGAAGGTACTGTTTGGTTTCCTCTTGTCTTTCTAGTCAGTTTTAGTATTTTGTTATCAAATTAGCAAAATTAGGCCTATAATTAGGCATAGCTCTGACCACTAGGTGGCAGAAAAGTGCTTCTAGTAAGATCCTCAGTATGTGTGAAATATGCATCAACTGGCATTAGTGGGATTGGAAATGGTTTGAGGCCAAAACACAAAAGTAATCTGCGTGGAATTAAGTTTGTTTTTTTTGTTACAAGTTAGCATTATTTCTACCCACAGATATTTACTTCCACATCTCACCAAAATGGCTAATCCAGAGAAACATGATTACATGCTGATGCATGTCTAAAACATCTACTTCAACTGGCTGACCCATACCATATATGGGCATGGATGTCACAGGATGAGGCACATACTCTAAAACACTCACCCTTACCATATATGGGCAGTGATGTCACAGGGTGAATCATGTCAGAATATGAGAAAAAGGTTTCTGTCGGATAGTTTTTGACTACAAAATTGGGAAAAATGGCTTTATTTCAATTGAATATTTTGTATTTTAAAATACTTTTTAAAATTATTGCTGGTTTCTAATAAGAAAATCAATTTACCTAAAAAAAAAATATGCATGGACCTTTCTCACTCCTGAGACACCAGAGGGACAAAGTGAGCAGCAAACATGGCTGCTTACGTTTTACCTAAAAAAGACTGAACATGCACTGGACTCTTCCTTCTCTACTGCTCATTTTGTACATGGATTTTCTCTAAAAGATAGTTTACTTTTTTTTTATTATTGATAATTTGTATGCATCCTTGCCAAAGCTTTTGTATTGACTCAGTTGTTGACGTTTCATTTTGTCCACCTCTCCTTCAAGACATTATCTTTGTCATAATACTGATGACAGTGTGAATGTATTGAGTATAAAATGCATTTTTTTTTCTTAGAGGGGTAAAACATGACAAAAAGTGTACATTTTAAAGCTAATCATGAGTACTTTGATTCTACGTCAAATATATCTGCCCACCTAACTTTTCATATTATTTAATATCATGTTTGTAATTAAAAAAAACACCTAAATGACCTTTATTTTTGTGTTATTTCTGAGTGGAAACGAGGCGTAGTCAGCAGTGTTTTCCAGCCGAATGATTCAGAAACAGACTGAGTGGTGTCAGCCCACATCCTCCGTGTGTCACACTACCTCCTTCTTCACCACGGCCTTCTTTGGTCAGCTGAGCCTCACTCATGTTCTTCCAAATGAGCTTACTACCCCGTGGGTAGCTTCCTGTTGGCCTAAACTGATTTCTGTGTGAGTGTGTTATAAAAGCTCTGCAAGCAGTTCTGTCAGGAACATTGTGTTCTCCTGATTATCTCCGGGCCAGAATGGTTGAGTCAGAAGCAACTGGCGAAGAAGTTTGCTTTTTATTAACCAATCTTTTGGGACTTTTTAGTTCAGTCTGGAGAAAAGAAGGAGATGAAGCTGTTATTTGAGTTTAAAACACTCAAACTTTATTAAATTGAGACATTTTTTCATATTTTAGCCACACAACCGGTAGAATTTAAACACTATCCTTTCATGAGACTTTATAATTATAAACGTGATGGAAAAAATATTAAGTATTGACAGATTTTTTTCACATTTTTTTATGACTGCTATTATAAGGAACATACAATCACACAATGTGTAACTTTTTAACCCGTGACACCAGTTTGTTTCGAGGAAAAGAACATTTTATTTTTCTGGACCTTTTGGCATTCCGTATTGATTCTGATCAAAAAAGTAATTTTAAGTACTGCTTAATGAAAGAACCAAAAAGTAAGGAAAACAGACCACTCAATTCATTTTAAAAGGCAGATGTAAGAGTTGGAAAAAAAAAATGAATTAGTTTCACTTAAATACACAAGCTGGTCAAATTTGATTCCGTTTTAATAAACACAGCTAAAATTATGCAAAAAGAAAGTTAAAAACACACCAAACAAACGTTCCCAGGGTCTCAGTAGGGATAAGATACAACAAAACTAGGATAGCTCCAGGTAAACGTCAGGTCTTCCTTTGTTTCCGTGTCTCTAACGCACATTTATCAGCAGTCGAACCACAACCATTAACAGCATCTTCCTCCAATCACATTCTGGGAAATATGGACTGCTGGGGGCGCGACCAATCAGCGCTCTTCCCGGCAACCCCGCCCACCTGCCTCACTGACCGACTTACTTACTGGCCGAATGCCACAAGAAGTGTGATCCTCAGCGACACCTGCTGCCCTGAGCAAGTCATCACTGTAGCTACAACCGAAAAAATGTAAGGGAAGACATGATTAATTAATTAATTAATAATAATAATAATAATAATAATAATAATAATAATAATAATAATAATAATAATAATAGACACATTTATATCTTTTTTTCCTCTAAGGCTTCAACTTTTTATTAACTGAAAAACAGCATATTTGAGATGAAAAAACGGACTTAAAGAACTGGCTAGTGTAGCTTTTAAGACCTGCTTCAACTAAAAATGCCACGTGCAATATGGCGGCGACGTTGACGTACGACCCGGACGTTCTTTGCCCTCCCTTCGCCTCTGTGTTACCATGGTGACATCAACAACACTAACGCCCACTTTCTAAGGACTTCTACTGGGCCTGAAACGACAGCAACTCGCTTTCATAGATTGTGTCAGTTTTTGTGTTTAAACTGAGGTAATTTTTTAGAACATTTAAAGTTTATTTCAACTGGTCTGTTTCTCGAAATATTCAAAATGGACATCGGCGATAAACTCAAAGAGCTAAATTTGTCGTCGGAGGAGATGGGCAGATTTACCAAAGCCTTCAAAGACTGTAAATTTAGGGAGATGTTCTGCGAATACGTCCAAGAACTATCTGAACCTGAAAACAGGAAAAAGTACGAAGAGGAAATCCGACAGTTGGAGCAGGAGAGAGGAAACAGTGTGGATTTCATCCAGCCGACACCGTTCAGGGTGATCAGAACGAGCGGAGCTGGAAAACAGAAATGCTTCATCAACATATGTGCCAATGATAAAATCCAAAAACCTGAAGTAAAGATTGGAGTGTCAGATGATGGCCGCAGGGGGCAGTATTGGACTCTGCCTTACAGTCTTTATCCTGGGAGGACAGAGAAAGACCCTAAAGGCAGCACATTCATGATCTATGATGTTATTTTCCACCCTGACACGCTGCACATGGCCTCTAAAAACAAACCATTCATGGATATGGTGAAAGACACAGCAATTGATGGAGTCCAAAAAGCTTATAAAGTCAAGCTAGACAAAAACAATGTGAGAGAAATGAAGACAAAATACAAAGGTACCCCTCAGACATGTATCATCCGAAGACCCATACCTGGATTCAATGCCGAGAACCTCAGTTCTCCCTTGCCATTGTTAGAGGTTCCTGAGCCCCGGATGAAGTCTGAAGAGTCGCCTCCATTAACAACCGGCGGAGATGTTCAGCAACAAAACCAATCGCAGAACAAGCAGGAGCCAGAAAAGCCAAAATACAGAGTAAAATATCGATCTAAGGTTGATTTACAGGACTTCAGATGTTCTAGAGACTCCGTCCAGAGCCCCAGGCCTAAGGAAATTGTGATTACTATTGATCTGCCTCTTCTGAAGTCAGTTAGAGACACAAACCTTGAAGTAATGGAGAAAACTCTGCTGCTAGAGTCCAAACAACCTGCCTACAGGCTACATCTGCCTTTAGCCTACCCTGTGGATGAAGACCAAGGAGAGGCCAAGTTCAACAAATACACAGGACAGCTCACCATCACCCTGCCGGTCCGTCCACCTGATGAATCTCTTCATCAATCTGTTGGATCTTGTCCTTTAGTGAGCGATTTTCAAGGAGAAGACGAGGTTGAAGAAGAGCAAGGGGAGAAAGGGATTTGTGAGAAGACCAAGCAAGAGGTTCAAAGAGATGAACAGAAAGAAAGAAATCAGGTCGAAAATGGTGATGAAGAACAGAAAAGTGGAGGAGAGGAGGACAAGTGTCAGGAAATAAAAAGAAACCATGAAAAAGAGGAGGAAAAGCCAAGAACAGAGCTCCAAAACTGGGATTTGGACAAACAGCAACAGAGATTACAAGTGAGCAAGGAAGAGAATGATGAGGAAGGTGGACTAATGACGATGAATGAAAACCAGAACCAAGATTCTGAGGAAGGATCATTTCTGGATAAATATTACTATCAGAAAGGAGACGATCCAGAAGTTTATTCACAGGAAACTTCAACTGCCTCTCCTGCAACGGAAAACCAGGATGCTTTAATGTCTGATGGACAGATTAGCTCCTCAGAAAAGGACAAAGAAGCTAAACTGACCTCAAGTCTGGAGTCTACGGCTAAAACAACAACTTCAGAACTGCAGGAGGCAAAAACTGCACAGGAAAATATGCAGGTAGGCACCATTTTTGGTCAACAATTCTCAGACGTAGTGCCACACTGACATTTTAAAACACTGTCAGAAGGTTTTCAGTTGGTTTGTAGTAGATGCTGCATTTTTGGTTGGAGCATGATGCTTAAGTTGGAAAAAGTAAGTTAAAATAAGTTGGAAAACATGAAGAAGTGTCACCAATTCTGTCTTTAAAAACCAATATGGCCACCTTCCATAGGAAAACTACTGCAGTAAAAACAGTACATGCATGTCAGGCAGCCATTATCACTTTTACAAAATTCAAAAAAATACATTGTTATTAACTTGCAATTAACCAGGCCACTAAACATATATGGTACTGTGAAAAATATATTTGCCCTCTTGCAGATTGTTTTTGATCGTCAAATATCATACAAAGTGTAGTTTTCAAATAATGATTTCCTTTATTAAGGGGGAAAAGTTACTATTTGAATCAAATTGAAATACTTTGGGGCAATTAATTTTCAAGAGAGTCTATAAAGTTTACACACTCACAAGAACTCAAAAAATATATATATTTATGAAATTATATCAAGACTCCATTTATGTAAAGTCAAGTAGGAGCATCAAAAAATAACGTCAACTTTGTTTCTCCTCTTCGTTTTTTGCATCAGGCTGAAGAAAATGCTTCACTCCAGCAACTTCCACCCATCGAGGAACCCCAGATTTCTCCTGAAGTGTCTTTCCCACCAACTGAGGCCGCTCAGAACCAGAGCAGAGTCATTACTTCAGGGGAGAAAATGGAGTCCCACCAGGTGTTTGCCGCAGATGCAGCAGAAAAAGGAAGAGAAACAGATGAAGATGACCTGCCAGCACATCAAGTTCTCCAAACATTGGAGCAAAACAACAAGCCAGCAGCAGACGCAGCAGCCTGGCCACTGAGGGAGATCGGTGCTGATGGAAAAGAGACGCTGATCACTGATCATTCCACATCTGCAGGTTTCAATTTCCAGAACAATTTTATTTACGAGCTGGACTGATAAGCTGTGTTTTTAAAAAGAATGATGACTTTTAATGGGGTTTTTTCCTATTATACTGTAGATGTTTTCAAAGATATGCAATTGTTCTGTGAGATTTTAATAGTTTTCTCCCAAAGTTAATAAACTAATACCAATTTAATAATAAATATTCATAAGAAACCCGTGTCTGAATATGTCAATTCTAAATGTTATTATTCTGTGAATAATAATTACGTGATCATAAAAACAACTGGAACACATCGTATCAAAAATCCTAACTTGCACATTTTATCTGTACAAAATTATTTCTTATTCACCAAAGAAGCTCAAGCTTGGAACAAATCACTGCTGCGATGCAGATTAAGTGACTTTGGTTGTCCTTGTGTGATTATTTAAAAACTTTACATCACATCATATTCCTGTTTGTATCGGTGGAGGTAGCTGATCCTGATAAAATTATATATAATTTAAATAAAAAATACTTTTTGAATCAGAGGCAAATTAAATGTAAATCATGTTAAGCAATTATTTTTACAAAGGATCTCCTCTAGAGGTCAGCATTTCAGCGGTTCTGAAGGAGCTTCTGACTTTGTTACAGTCTCATGTAACATGTGGTTGCCTGCAATGTCCCTGATTTTATGAGGATTCGTTTGTCACACAATAATCTCCAGATGTTCCAGAGTCGCCCCAAGAACAGAACCAGACAAACACACTGCTGTTTAGATACAGATGGTTTCCAGATACACCCCAAGTTGGGATGCAGCTACCACTAAATACAACTATGTCTTACTTGTTATGCATGTATAGATTGTCAGTTTTGTTTTCTTGGGAGTTTTCTCTTTCTGCAGGTGTAGAGGCAGACTCCCAGGGTGTGGATCTGGATTCTCTCTATGCTTCTTTACATTTTTTCCTCACATTTATTCTTCTTTTTCCTTCTGTTTATTACATTTGAAATAAACCAAAAGCAATTTCTAATAAAGTTCAATATGTGTCAAGTGAAGCATCATGGGAAAAGCTGTAATGCTCCACTTGAGAAATAAAATCTACTGGACCTCACTTTGACACTCAAACAATTCTGTCGGAGAGGATACGTAAAAAAAGTTATGTTGTTATAAATGTATATTTAAATGTTTATTTCTTAAATGTTTAGACATTTCTTCATTTTTGCATTAAAAAAAGAGACCTAAAACCCAAATTTTATTGATCATGAATGATTTATAAAATTAATAAAACAGGAAATCATCCCAGGGGGTGAATTCTTTTTTAGGCATTGTGTTCATCTTCTACTATTAGACAGGAAGTGCAGGAGAAAAGCATAAAAAGCTGAAAATAATTTATATAATGCAAGTTTATGGGACAAACTTTAGAGACCACTGAGTGACTGGTTTATCATAAAACTTAACATTTTTATTCCCACATAATTAAAATGTTAAAGAATAAGGCACGTACACATATAACAATGAATACTTTTATTCTTTATAAAAATCCATGGACTTTACAAGCTTAATCACTAGAGATGCACCAACAAATCATTCAAATACTGGAAGTGACCAATTTCCCCTTGTTGGGCAGGTCAAATATGGAAAAATATGAAACTTTTATCTAATTATTAAATGGATCAAAGCTAAGAAATTCCTCTGTTTTTCAGTCTTCACAACATAAACCAAAACATGAACTTTCAGGCACTTTTTGGGTTTGGTAAAAATCAGTAAAAGGTCAACACTCCATATATATATATATATATATAAAAAAAAACTGTAGAACATTTGTTTTCCTCCTTTATGTGTAATTGACCTAAAAAAATTATTTAAAAAAATCAATCAGGAAAAGCCTGACGAGTGCAGCTTTAATAATAGCCTCCTTGTTGGACCCTGATGTGCTGTGCTTATTTCTTTATTCCCCCGTCTCGCAGATGTAGTTCAGTAGAGGAACCTGAAGTCTGATATATGAGGAGGAGAGAAGGATAACGTTTGAGATTTTCACAGCAGTGCAGTAGAAATGCATTGTTTCTAATAGTCAACACTACTCTAATAAAACCGAGCATGTAGGTGTAAAACCAGCTGAATAAAGCGCTTTTAAAAACAAACAAAAGTCACCTAAAGCCATCGTCAGGAAGATTCTAGGCTGTAACTACCCCAGCTGCCTCCATTTATCCTCTAAAACAATGTAACAAGGTCTTTTGCAGAGTTTTGTAATGTTTTTGACCACTTAAGGTGTCTTTCCTCATCTCAGGCCTCGCTGAAGACAGCCGTCTAAAAACTCGGAGTAACAGGAGAGAGAGCAGAAGTGCTGCTGCACCGGTGCATCCGTGCCGCCCATGTCATCCACCAACACGACCGTGTGAGACACTTGGTGCAGGTTCATGCTCACTGCCGTCTTGATGTGGAAGCTGACACAGACGCGCCCGCACTCGCACGTCTTGGCCGCTTCGAGTTCTCCACACAAGTGGGCCGGGATGAGGTGAGGACCGTACGGGATTCTGGGAGGGGAATCAAACAGTCAAGCTTGTTTGTACAGTAAATCTCAGCAACAAGGCAGTTCAAAGTGCTTTACACCATAAAAACATAATACAGTAATTATGAGCAATAATTTGATTTTAAGGGATGGTATTATGTGTTTCCAGCCACATAGTATCATTTTAAAGTGAATAAAGTTACATTACCTTCAGTTAGTTTAAAAATGCTGTAAATGTAAAATATGACTTAAAAGAAAATTGATTTCGATATTTAATGTCTTGAAATTGGCCCTCTGTCTCTTTAAAAACTCCTGCTCTTTCTAAAACTTCACCTTCATGAAGCCATCACAACATGGCTCCTCTTTAACAAGGCTTCTACCAGCATTGCACTGAGAAGTAGCTCCTGTAATGAGCACAAACAGCGGTAAAACCAGCAGACCAAATGTGTTGGAGTTCCGTTTGGGTTGCTAGGTAACAGGCCGGGCTCTGCCAGGGTTGCTAGGTGATGGGCAGTGACTGCTCATTTGTGACATTAAATTTCTTTTTTTTTTTTAAATGGCTAATTTTCTAGGCACCAAAATACAAACTTATTGCCAAAATAACACCTGGGTGTTTTTTTTTTTTTTTTTTTTAAACACTTGGGCTGTTTTTAGAAGCAGATGAAACCAAAACGGAAGTAAAAAAAGTTAATTTTGTACCATAGATCCTCATTAAGTTTAGATACATGATATATTTTAAGGATGCGTGAACACCATGGTATATCCTGATCAACAGTGTTAAATGCTGCACTTAGAGGTCCAACAACTTAGGAACAACAGAGATGGAAGATCTAACAAAGCAACAGAGTTATAACCTCACCTGAGATCAGCTACAGCTCTGGAGGCAATCTCCTGTAGTGGAAGGGGGAAGGCGAGTTGCATGGTGTGGTCCAAAGGGTTGGGCTGGATAAACGGATTCCCAAACAGATCCAAGTTCTCCAGACTCAGCTTAAAGAAGTCTGCGGGCAGAACCGTCAGCTGGTTGTGAGCAGCGGACAGGAACCTCAGCTTCGAGAGCCGGCCGATTTGGAGTGGCAAACCCGCGAGTTTATTGTCGTCCAGCTTGAGGTTCATCAGTTCTCTGAGCTGACAGAACCGGGCGGGGAGGGACTGCAGCCGGTTCTGGCTGAGGTCCAGCACCTGGAGGGTCTGCTGCAGCGTGGACAAGCACAGGGCTTCGCTGAAGGCCTCCAGGTGGTTGTTGTGTAGGATGAGTTCAGAGAGGCAGCCGAGGTCACCGATGGTGGCGGGCAGCTTCTTGATGTGGTTGTTGCTCAGATCCAGCCTGCGGAGAGCTAAAGTCATATTCAATAAGTTAGAATATGCGTTCAGATGAAGCCTGTTTGTCAGATTAAAAGCACTTTTTGAAAACAACATTTAAGCAGGTATTAAATATACTTTTCATTAAGAGCAGACAGTAAAATTCAAGCACTTTTCATAGTAATTTTTCCAACACTACTCACTGCTTGAAGATAAAAAACAATACAGAAGTACTAAAAAATGACAACTTCAATTCACTATTATATAACATTATTTATTAGTATTATTGGTAACTTCTTGTGATAGTATTCTACATCTAACAGCAAGAAAAACTAAAATATAACTACATTTTATGTATTGTAAAATCTCACACACCTGACTGGTCTGAGAACAAAACATTAATTTAACAAAAATAATTATTTCAATAAAATTCAAAGTAAATTAACCTTCATTTCAATACACAGATCAATAAGTTATTTAGTCATTCTGATCAATAGATATTCAAAAAAATAAAATAAAAAATGTTCTTGCAAAGTTTTCTGTCATTTAACAAATAGTATTAATTTTAGTAATTCTAACTGACCTAAAGAAAAAAGTTTGATCTGATTTAACTTCAGACAGTGAGAAAAAAATATTTATGCGTCTTTTTATTATCTTTAAATATCTGGCTTCAACTATAAATAATGCTTTCCAAATTTAGGCATTTAGGTATTTGCATAATATTGAACATCCATATGAAAAGATGTTTTAAGACATATTCACTGAATACAGAGAAAGCTATAGTATTAAAAGTTTAATAGTTAGTTTTAATTAAGAAATTTGTCCACAACCAGTAAGTTAGTGGGTATTTGTGATCTTGATGTGGCCTGCAATGAAAACGATTTAAAACAAAAATGAGCTTCAGGTAACAAACGACAGATGCACCTTTGAGGGACAGCATGCGCATGTCCACCCGGGACAGTTTGCAGTAGGACACCTGCAGCTGCTCCAGAGAATACGGGAAGTTGGAGGTGAGTGGGTAATCCTTCTTGGACATGACTGACAGCTTTTTCTTCGGCTGCTCCACATCTCTGGCTCGAACCGGAGTAAGCGTGGACAGAGGAAGGCTGCTCGTGTCGCTCCCTCGGTCGGCCAAACGCGCTGCTGACAGGAAGTTTTTCAAACTGTTTGCATCGGCCTGAAATAAAATATGAACGAGGTACAGGTCTGTCAGGGTATGGGTCAGATGACACATAAAGTATTCTTGTGACGTTGGTTGTGTTTGACCGAATTCCTTAAAATGAGTGGCCTGATTTTGTTGGACAGTAATATCCTGACACAGTTCTTTTAAAATGAACCGTAGTAGCTCCATGCTGCTGGGGATAAAGTGGGGAAAGTATGGCAGAAGATCATTCTTACCATTTTTACTAAGTAAAGCATGATGGCGATTGTAGATAGGAAAAAAAAGACTAAATTTCCACCAAAAAAACTGATATTTTTAGATTAATCTAAGACATTTTCTAGAAAAAAGGACATTTCTGAGTTTGAAAAGTAACCTTTATATTTTGTTAGAAAAAACTAAAATTTTAAGATTAATCTCAGAAATTTTTGGGGAAAAAAAGTTTCAAAAGTAGAACATTTTTAACTTTTGAAATTCTGGAATTTTCAACTTTTTCTACAAATTTTCAGAGTTTTCTCTAAGCAAATCTTTCTAGAAAATTTGAAATAATTTAGAATATTTTCAGTCTTTTTAAACTCAATGCTGTTGGTTGATGTGTTTACAGACCAAAAATGGTAGCAAATTTTAGTTTGATGTCTTTAATAGTTTTGAATAAAAGTGAGACATTTTAGCTTGAGAGTGGATTAAGGGAAAGTAGGTCCACTCCTCTGCCATGATTGGTGCATCTGTCTCTCACCGGAAGCCAAATTTGTAATACTGATTATTTATCTGATTTGTTCTTTTTGAAGACATTTTATGCTGGACACTTGTGTTCATAATTTTTTGGGGGCTGAGTTGTTGCATGTTTTGACAATTAATCCCCCCTTGCTTTTGGATGCTCTGCACCTAGAAAGAAGTTTTGCTCTTTCTTTTTTTTTTTTACTTTTGGACAGTCGTTATGATGCATAGAAAATAAAAAAGCCCTATTCCAGGGGAAAAAAAACGAACAAAGAAAAGATTGCCCCAAGAAAGACTTTCTTCCTCAAGCTGTTAGTGTCATACCTTACTCAGACAAACATCAACAGCTGGTTCCTTTAGCCTCACAGTTGCTTTGCCCTCCTCTACAAACCAAGTGAAGAACTTCTCTATGTTGTTTCTCAGCTGAAAGAAAAATTGCAAAACATCCGTATGACGGACAACAAAGCAAAGCATCATAATTACATCACAGTGAATCACTCCTTGGCAGGTGTTGAACTTGCGTCACAAATAAATTAAGACATGTTTCGCCAATTTCAATCATCAGATTAGGGGTTTATGGAGCCATAGGTAAAGATTATATCATTTAAATCGTAGTTATAGAATTTTAAATATTAATAATTAATCAAGGGTGTAAAACATGTGGCCCAGGGGCCATTAGTGGACCTTGAAATGATTTTGATCTGCACCTCAAGCACATGGTCAAGAACAGTAAAAATGTGTCCAACGAAATGGAAAACAATAACAAACCACAACTGTATACACATAGGTTTGATAGTTTTACCTGACTTAAAACAGGAAACATTTTGTCTTATTTAATGTCAAATTGTGGTGAATAAACTCTTTTTTTAAATGCAATGTATGCAAATATTTGATTTCAATTGTAGAATATGCAACATTTTTCATTAGGAGAGAAAATAACCTTCCTATGATACAAAAAGCTTCAAAGTTAAAGTAACTGGAGGCTTTGGCTAAAAGAAGTGTGACTTTTAAAACAGTAACTGCACATTTATTGATACTCACATTGTACAAACAGTGTAGAAAACAGTAAATTTAATAATCTTGACAACAGGAACAGCTTCGGGAGATTTTAAACCTCAATTGGAATTTATCCTGACAATAATAAATCACAATTTTTATAAGAAATTTATCACGATAGATAAATGCAAATACGTACATACGAATATTTTTTACTGACTGACTTAAAACAGGAAAGGTTTTCTCATTTCATGTCAGATTGTGACAAACACAACCTGATTTCAACTGAAAATATGTGAAATGTTCCATTATGGGATGCTAGCGATACAAAAAAGCTGGAAAGTTTTAGCAATTGGAATCAGAGGACTGTCAGAACACTCTGTACCCTGCGAAAGGAACAAGTCACCGACCTTATATTTTGACCCAGTTCTGTCTTTGGCCGTGCAGATCATCATGTAGATGTTACTGCGCTGACTCGACTTGTCCAAATGCTTCCCGATGGAGACCACCGCTCTCACGCCCTTTCCCCTACTTTTCATCCCGAACGACGGGAGCATCCGGTTAACCACCTCCACATCGCACTGCAGCTTCATGGCTCCTGAAGGCTGAGGGCAGGCCGAGCATGGAGGGTTAGGCGCATACCAGAGGAAAACTTCCGCCAAAAAAAGAGAAAAAAATAATAAAATAAACAAAAAAGTAAAAGTCTAGCCGCGGACTCTGCTAACAACAAACCTCCGACCTGCTACGATGTCAACAGCTAGCAGCCTACTTCATCGAGGAGCAATGGAGAAAAGCTTCATCGGTGAGAAGATCGATCAGAAACTCCCGAACAGCTCCGGGTTGCCTGCTGACACCGAAAAGCTGTTTTAGGGTTCGGGATTGTTCTCGCCTGTCAGCTGGATAGCAGCAGTTTTAGCGTAATCCCGCGCGAGGGAAGTGACGTCAGAGAGGCTCGTTCAGTACGTAGGCTAGGCGCGTTACACAGGAACGCCACAAGAGGGCGACAGAGAGGCACCAGGAAGTTCTCGTTGCAAACACTTGGCTTGCTAATGTTTAAAAAAAATAAAATAAAATCTGAAAAGTGTGGCGTGGTTTTGTATTAAGCATATTTACTCCTATCACCCCAAAACAAAACAGAGTGCAACCAGTTACCTTCAGATGTGATGTGTTCCAGTGTAAACACAAGAACTTATAGGTTTGTTACCAACAAACAGCAATATTTTCCTAAACACCAATATAAAACCAAATGTCAGTTTCTCAAATTTTTTTAAAATACAGTTTTATTAGTTTAACCAACAGAAGAATATATAATTGTACATTATATTGTTACATCACATTGCATAAGAGGAGAAGAAAAAGAACAAAATAACAAAGGGGAAAAAGTTCTGCTGTACTATGCCATGTATTCATGTCATATTGTACACATATTTATAATGTCTGACAATAAGACACTCAGAGCTCGCAGATATATTGACAAAACAAAACATACAATGCAGGAGGAGGGTGTTCACTGGTTACTCTGATTTTACTCTTTATAGTTATGTGTTCCAATGAAATTTTTGTAGTTGTTTTATTTTATCTAGTTCTAACTCAGGGGTCTGCAACCTTCATAGTCAAAAGAGATATTTTTGTTCTTAGTTCAGCTAAATAAAATTCAATTTGACATAAAAAAATCGGTCACATATTTAAAATATCAACTATAGGAAATGTGTTATTTTCAACTGAAGCACCATAATATTTCTTTCTCTTTAGCCAAAAGGGGTTTGATGTGTTTTACTTCAGTAAGTGGGAAATTATGTAGAAAAAGCATATTTTTGAACATAATTACAAGAAAAATGTAAACAAATATTACTGGTACTTGCCATGCCATTTTATTGTGGAAAAGCTAAACTATTTGTAAAAATAGATATTTGTATTATCTATTTTTAAAAACAGTTGTTTACTCATCATGTTTAGCCAAAGTTACCAGTAGTCATTTGAAGATCCAAAGAGACACCTGCAGCAAGTACAGTTACGTTATAAAGTTTTTTGTGTGTTTTTGTTAAAAAAAAATAAAAACATCGGTAACACTTTATTTGAAGGGGGGTGAATAAGACTGACATGACACTTTCATAAAAACCTGTCATGAACATGAATAATCCTTCATGAATATTTATGACTGTTGTCATAAAGTGTCATTCAGTAAATAATGACACTTTTAATACAAAGTTGACATTATGCAAAATGTCTTTGTTATGACAACTTGACATTAACCAAGAAATCATTACTGTTATAAATTTGTTATAAAATTATTACTGATTGCACTTTAAAAATTAGGTAACTTTATGTTATTAAAGGTAAAGCTTAAACAGTAATGATTTCTTGGTTAATGCCAAGTTGTCATAATAAAGACATTTTGAATTATGTCAACTTTGTATTAAAAGTGTCATAATTTACCAAATGACGCTTTATGACAACAGTCATAAATATTCATGAAGGCTTATTCATGTTCATGACAGGTGTTATGTCATGTTTATGACGGTGTCATGACAATCTTATTCAACCCCCTTCAAATAAAGTGTTACCAAAACATCTAAGTTGCTTGAAATGTTTTAATGTTTTGTACGTTACTTTAGAGTTTTATGCGGGAAGCCTTGATTTCTGGCACAAGTTTTTAAACGCTCCACTCTTAATATGGAGGAGGCGTTGACGTGTCTTTTTTTTTTTTTTTTTTTTTTTT